TGGTTTAGTGGAACGTGGTTCATGGTACCCTATAAGTAAGCTCAGAGAACCAACTCTGCTTCCAGTTAGGAAGGGGCCCCATGAGACCATCAAGACGGTCTCAATTTTTTCCCAATAAGATGAAAGTTAAAAAAAGAGAGAGAGGCCTGGATGTTGTTTGAAAGTGAAAATGAATGGTGAATGTAATGGTTCCCTTCCTGGGCTTGATCTTTTGGCTGCAGATAATGGTTCTCACTTGAAATTCCTTCTGAGTCCTTTTGACAGGGAAAGCAGAAAAAGGAACTAATATAGAATATAGAATAGCAGAGTTGGAAGGGACCTTGAAGGTCTTCTAGTCCAGCCCCCTACGTAGGCAGGAGACCCTACACCACTTCAGACAAATAGATATCCAGCATCTTCTTTAAAATGTCCAGTGTTGGAGCATTCACAGCTTCGGGAGGCAAGTTGTTCCATTGATTAGTTGTTCTAACTAAGAGGGGTAGCCACAAGTAGAGCACTGAAATCTTGCTTCCTTTTTATATGCAGTGACATCCCACCCACACCCCTCCCCACACAGACACATACACCCTGGCCCTTGAGCTGAAAAATGTACATGATTATTCTATTGTAGGTGTAAATATTATTTTACCATCTAAAATAATTATTGGTCTATTTATTTTAGGTTTCCAAAGAAAATGATCGGCTTCCCGGATACTGTACTCCAAAGAGGTTTGAACAACAGATACTGTGTTGTACATGTTCAGGATGACGAAGAACGTGAGAAACGTCTGACAATTGTTTCTTCAATGCTTGACGATTCAGAGAGAGAGTTGTGCATCCTTCAGGATGACTGGTAATTCTCAGGCAAATAGAGGGGGACATTTGTCTGGTAGATTTCTAATTACACCCCTATTGTAAAAAAATAATTTTGTGATAAATTTATAAGAATAACAGGGAACGGTTAGGGAAATATTGTATGAAAAGTTTCTCATGCTCTTACTGCGTATTTACCCTTGGTAAACCTTCCTGTTACCTAATAAACTTTATTTTTGGGGTATGTTGCATCAAAGCTAAGCACACGGCCGGATTCATATAGTGAGTTAGCATAAAAAACAGGATTACCGGTAACTGTTTTTTGATTCAATATGTCTTGTGAACATAAGTCATAAGCAAACTGGAAAAAGTATGGTGTTTACTTCTCTCAATTACCCTTCTAGTATTTATGCATTTATTCATTTAACAAGTATTTATTTAGTATTTATTTAATTTAGTTTTTCCTCACTTTTTTCATTTTATATACTTTTATCCGTGACCTGTTTTATTATTTCAATTTATGTAGTTGCTCGTCCCCATTCATGATTCTGAGTGCGTGGTAGCAGATTTGGGCTTCAGAAATCCACATAACCATTACATGGGGGAATGTTTCCCCCCTATTTATGTGGGGAATCTGTATTTGCACATACCCAGAGAAGAGGTGGATCATTTGCAGAAAAAAATAGTTTATTTTTTTTAATTTTATCTCCCATTTCCAAACATATTTCCCCCTTTAATCTATCTTTTTTAAAGGATTTCTGTTCCAGTCCAGCCTGGAGATATAATTCACTTAGAAGGAGAGTGCAATTCTGGTATCTGGATAATAAATGCCAATTCAGGATACTTAATTCTGTATCCAGATGTGCTACTTTCTGGTACAACTGTATCAAATAGCATTCAGTGCATGAGAAGAGCTGTACTGAGTGAAAAGTTCCGGGTAAGTTTAAAAAAAAAACCTGGATTTCTAAATGTTTAAAACAGCTGTCATGTCAAGATTTTTTATCATCAGTAAAATCATAATTTACTTTAGCTCCAAAATGGTGCTGGATTATTGGCTGGATTCATTTGCTGGTGTTTCAAATGGCATTTAATTGAATGGATGTTTCATATATTATACAAGTAAACCTATAAGGACAGAGGTCTTCTGAATGCTTTTGTTACTTCCATATGTACATAGGAGGTGATGGACCCTGATTCTTTTATAATGCAGTAATAGAGGCAGTGGTTGCTTGTGTTTTATCAGTTTCATTTGCCATGACAGCTGTGATTTTGTTGGATTAAAGCATGGGTGCCAAACTTGCAGTGTCACATTGCTGTCATGTGATGTTTCGCAACGTTTTTCCCATTTGCGGAGCTGGGGTGGACGTGGCCTGCATGTGATCCATTTGGCCCACGGGCTGCCAGTTTGACATTCATGGATTAAAGCATGTGGCAGTCTGCTTTATCTTGATAACTTTGTGATAGGGCTGCTCCCATATTATTTATTTGAAAAGATCATAATATAAGGGAGTTAATTTTTTAATGTGGTTGGGCCAGAGGAAGCTTTTTATGCTCTAATATCAGCCATGAGACTTTTAATCTTTATATGGAAACAAAATAGACATCTTTACAGTTTTTTCTTTATTTCTTCTGAAAATATAACAAAAACAACACTAGTGCACTTGGAGACTATAGATAGCTTTACTGGCCATATATATATATATGTGTGTGTGTGTGTGTGTGTGTGTGTGTACTTGGAGACTATAGATAGCTTTACTGGCCATATATATATATATGTGTGTGTGTGTGTGTGTGTGTGTGTGTGTGTGTGTATATATATATATATATATATATATATATA